GGGCATGGTGGCTCAAGCCTGTAATACCAGCACTTTGGGAGGCCAACGTGGGCAGATCATGAGGTCAGGAGATTGAGACCATACTGACCAACATGGTGAAACCCCATCTCTACTAAAAGTACAAAAATTAGCTGGGCGTGGCAGCGCGTACCTGTAGACCCAGCTGCTTGGGAAGCTGAGGCAGGAGAATTGCTTGAACCCGGGAGGCGGAGATTGCAGTGAGCCGAGATTGCGCCACTGCACTCCAACCTGGCAACAGAGCTAGACTCCATCTCAAAAAAAAAAAAAAGAAAAGAAAAATAAAAAAAGAAAGTTAGTAATATTTAAATTTTATTTCCATTCTTTGGGAGAACTAACTTTCACGAATATCTTCCGTTGTGAAAGATAGTGAAATTATTTGTAGAATTATGGCTATGCTGGCAGAATACTTATAATTTCACCACTGGTTAAGTAATATGAAAATATAACATGTTGTTTAGAAACGAAAGGATCATGACTCTTTGTAAAATGTACTAAAGAGCTGCAACAGCAGATTCCATGTGTATTTATATAGTCATTTGTACAAAGTTTATTCACTCTTATTAATATAAATTTTTAATTGCTTCCTAGTGACAGCTCAACTTCCAGGAGCTGGTGGCTACCCAGGAGGAAAGATTATCTTCATTGATACAGAAAATACTTTGTAACCTTTTTATTTAAAGTTGCTAACATAATATTGTGATATAGGAATATTACCACTAAAGAGTTTGTCTGAGATATACCATCTTTGTAGTCATCCAGTAAACCAGTAGTAATGAGACAAACTAAAGGGAAAACAATTACTGGTTAAGTTCTCAAATCACTTTTTATTTAATGAGGTTTCACTTCTTCATATGGGTTTATGAGACAAAACAAATACATGAGAGGAAATTATGTCACCTTCATTTTGAATTCTCTTACTTCTCTAAAGATTTTGCTCAATAGTTAGAAGTTTTTTGTTTTTTTTGTTTTGAGACGTAGTCTCTCTCTGTCGCCTAGGCTGGGGTCCAGTGGGGCGATCTCGGCTCACTGCAACCTCCATCTCCCAGGTTTAAGCAATTCTCCTGCCTCAGCCTACCGAGTAGCTGGGATTACAGGTATGTGCCACCACACCTGGCTAATTTTTTTGTATTTTTATAGAGATGGGGTTTTGCCATGTTGGCCAGGCTGGTCTGGAACCCCTGACCTCAGGTGATCTGCCCGCCTTGGCCTCCCACAGTGCTGGGATTACAGGGGTGAGCCACTGCGCCTGGCTGAAAGATTATTGACTCACTGAAAGTCATGGTCCCAAATGAAGGGAAAGGTGTGAAGGGGGTGAAAGTTCATAGGGAAAACAGGCAGAACCTGTTTGGGTTACAGAAAGAATTGCAGTTTAATTAAAGTATAAGGTATTCCAGGATATGGGCTAGAAAGATGATTGGGATCTTAGACATGAAAGGCTTTGAAACAAGATGGTGGGTGTAAATTGGATACTTTAGCAATATTCTAGGCAAGTAATGAGAACTTGATCTAGGTTGGAAGTGGTAAGAATAAAAAGAAAAGTAAAAGAAGTATTAGAGAGGAAAATTGATAGGACTTGATGGCTATAGGTGGTAGACAAAGGAAAGAGAGGTTTGAGAAATCGCTCAGGTTTTTTGTCTAGATACTGGGAGAATAGTTATGCAATGCTAACAATAGAACTGGAAAGATCATGTTTCAGAGAAAAGGTGATGTTTCATTTCAATATACTAATTTTACTTTTTTTTTTTTTTGAGACAGAGTGTTTCTCCATCACCCAGGCTGAAATGCAGTGGTGCAGTCTCGACTCACTGCAACCTCAGCTTCCCAAGTAGCTAAGTTTACAAATGTGCACCTCCACACCTGTCTAATTTTTGTGTTTTTAGTAGAGATGGAGTTTCGCCATGTTGGCCAGCATGGTTTCGAACTCCTGACCTCAAGTGATCCACCCACCTTGGCCTCCCAAAGTGCTGGAATTACAGGGGTGAACCATCACACCGGGCCTAATTTTTTTTCTTTTTTTGAGACAAGGTCTTGCTCTGTTCCCCAGACTGGAGTGCAGTGGCCCAATTACACTCATTGCAGACTCGAACTCCCAGGGTCAAGTGATCCTCCCACTTCAGCCTTCTGAGTAGCTGGAACTACAGACACACACCACCACACCTGGCTAATTGTTTTTTTTAATCTTTTGTAGAGACCAGGTTTCACCAGGTTGCCCAGGGTGATCTCCAACTCCTGGGCTCAAGCGATCTGCCTACCTTGGCCTCCCAAAGTACTGAGATTACAGGCATGAGCCACTGCACCCAGCCGTCATTTTAATGTATTGAATATGATGTACATGAGGATATCCAGATGGCAGCTGGAAATATTGAATTCAGCTTGAGAAAGGGGTAGGCCCAGAGATATGGACGAATTAACCAAGTGGGAAAGAGAACTTAGAGAGAGAGAAGAGAGGAGAATGGAGAACATAACTTTGAGGTATGTTTATATTTAGGAAGAGGACTAAAATGAGGAATCCAGAGACAGAGGAAGTAGAAGGAAATCTGGTTGTAAAAGTCAAGCAAAAGGAAAGTTTCAAGACAAAAAGAGTTGTCAGCAATGTTACACACACATGGATTTTAAGGATACAGCCTGAGAAAGATCACTGAAGTTCAAAATTAGGAGTTCAAGCAAACATTTGCCGTAGGGTGAGGTGATAGAAGCTTTATGTAAATAAACAATAAGGGAGGGAGGCAGTATGAAATTGACCAATGAAAGGAAGACGGCTTGGCACAGTGGCTCACGCCTGTAATCCCAGCACTTTGGGAGGCCGAGGCAGGTGAATCACCTGAGGTCAAGAGTTCGAGACCAACCTAATCAACATGGAGAAACCCCGTCTCTACTAAAAATACAAAATTAGCCAGGCGTGGTGGCACATGCCTGTAATCCCAGCTACTCAGGAGGCTGAGGCAGGAGAATCACTTGAATCGGGAGGCGGAGGTTGTGGTGAGCCGAGATCGTGCCATTGCACTCCAGCCTGGGCAACAAGAGCAAAACTCCATCTCAATAAAAAAGAAAGGAAGAAAAAACATACTAGTTTGAGGAGGTATTCAGAGGAAATTATTTTTAATAACAAAGAAGACCTATGCACGTTTGTAAGGCCATTCACAGTGAAGCCCCAGCCTGCCTCTCCAAGCTCATTACTCACCATTGTCACTATTAGAGGCAAAGAGATGAATCCGTTTTAGTCCATCCCATTGCCTGTAAACATGCTTTGTTATCAAAATTTGCACATATGTCTGGTCTTTCTCCAGTAATCCCAGAACTTCAGGAGGCCAAGGCAGGAGGATCACTTGAGGCCAGGAATTCACAGACCAGCCTGGACAACATAGTGTCTCTATGAAAAAAATTTTAAATTAGCCGGGTGTGGTGGCTATAAATCCCAGCTACTTGGAAGGCTGAGGCAGGAGGATCATTTGAGGCCAGGAGTTCATGATTCACCTGGGCAACATAGCAAGACTCTGTCTCTACCAAAAGAAAAAAAAATCTAAAAACATTGTACATCAGCAGTTATTTAGATTTAACTATAAAGATTTTTGTTTTCTTTGTTCATTATGGTTTCTTGCATCCCAAATGTTATTCTTTCCTGTATTTTTGTTTTGCTATAATATTTAAGTATTTCTTTCAGAAATATAATCCAGGTGGTAAACTTTGAACCTTAATATGTCTGAAAGTGCCTTTATTTTGCTCTTACTTTTGGCTGTTAATTTGGCTGGTCACAGAGAACTTTGCATGGTATATTTCTATCTTCTTGGGTATTTGCTCCTTGCATCCCCATCTCACAGTCTTTCTGAATCATACAAATCATTTAAGGCTCTCATTTCAAGGTCTGCTTTTTCTAATCTTCCCTAATAACTCAATTTAGAAAATATTGTCCTTCTTGACCTATTATAGAATTTACTATCTAAAATACTCACTTCGAAAACAAAACAGAGAACTGTTTGCAGAAGTCCCTTTTCAGAAATGCAGGCATGAGAAGACTCTGAAAGAGCCTTTTAACTTGGGGAAGGAAGGTGAAATGTTGTATAGGGCTTTAATAGGGGGCTCAGCTGGAGTTCAGCCGGTTTCAGAAACAATTGATTAAGGATGATTCTCCTCTCAGAGAGGAAAGAATTGTCCTTGCAGATTAGCAGCCACTGTTTGGGCAATTTGGATTTTTTTTTTCCCAAGACGGAGTTTCACTCTTGTTGCCCAGGCCAATGGCACGATCTTGGCTCACCACAACCTCCACCTCCCGGGTTCAAGCGATTCTCCTGCCTCAGCCTCCCGAGTAGCTGCAATTGCAGGTGCACGCTACCATGCCCTGCTAATTTTGTATTTTTAGTAGAGACAGGGTTTCTCCATGTTGGTCAGGCTGGTATAGAACTCCCGACTTCAGGTGATCCGCCCACCTCAGCCTCCCAAAGTGCTGGGATTACAGGTGTGAGTCGCCATGCCTGGCCTGCAATTGGATTTTATTAAGAACAATAGGAATAGTTAGGAGTTAAGTCATATGAAAGACAGAGTGGAGAAGAACAGCTGGATGGGGGTGCAGGGCACTGTGGCAAGGGCCATATCGGAATGTTCTCATTCTTTGGGTGTCTCATACTTACACTGCTATCTCTTGATATTTTTCTTTTTATATGTTTATATTTTGCCTCCTTAATTATGTTTTAAATTTACCTAGGGCATAGGTTGTCTTAGGACTCCTTATATCCTCCATAATGCTTTACCTTGGTAATTGGTTAATATGGTAATTAATTCCATATGATAATTGGTTAATAAATATTTATAAATGATCTGAACTTCCCTTCAGCATAAGCCCAAGTTTTTTCATTTTAAATTGTTTTGTTTTGTTTTGTTTTTGAGACAGGGACTTGCTCTGTCGCCCAGGCTGGAGTGCAGTGACATGATCATGGATCACTGCTGCCCTCGACATCCAGGACTCAAGTGATCCTCCCACCTCAGCCTCCCAAGTAACTGGGACTACAGGCATGTGCCACCATGCCCAGCTAATTTTTGTATCTTTTTGGTAGAGACAGGGTCTCACCATGTTGCCCAGGTTTGTCTCCAACTCCTGAGCTCTAGTGATCCTCTCACCTGGGCTTCCCAAAGTGCTGGGATTATAGGCATAACCCACCATGCCTGGTTTTGTTTTTCCCTGTCTTTTTTATAAAAGCCATATTAACTGGGGTGAGATGATGTTTCATTGTAGTTTTGATTTGCATTTCTCTGATGATCAATGACATTGAGCACCTTTTCATATAGCTATTTGCCGTTTGTATCTTCTGTGAACCCAGAAAATCTGAGACAGGTCTCAGATAGTTTAGAAAGTTTATTTTGTGGCCGGGTGCAGTGGCTCACACCTGTAATCCCAGCACTTTGGGAGGCCAAGGTGGGCAGATCACAAGGTCAGGAGATCGAGACCATCCTGGCCACCATGGTGAAACCCTGTCTCTACTAAAATACAAAAAAAAAAAAAAAATTAGCCGGGAATGGTGGCATGTGCCTGTAGTCCCAGCTACTCAGGAGGCTGAGGCAGGATTTTGTAATCACTTGATCCCAGGAGAGGGAGGTTGCAGTGAGCCGAGATTGTGCCACTGGACTTCAGCCTGGCAACACAGCAAGAATCCATCTCAAAAAAAAAAAAGAAAGTTTATTTTGCCAAGGTTGAGGATGCACCCATGACACAGCCTCAGGAAGTCCTGACGACATGTGCCCGAGGTGGTTGGGGCACAGCTTGGTTCTACACATTTTAGGGAGACATGAGACATCTATCAGTATATGTAAGAAGAACAATGGTTCAGTCTGGAAAGATGGGACAACTTGAAGCAAAGACAGGAAGACTCTAAGCAAAGGGGGAGTGGGCTTCCATGTCACAGATAGGTGAGACACAAATAGTTGCATTCTTTTGAGTTTCTGATTAGCCTTTCCAAAGGAGGCCATCAGATATGCATCTATCTCAGTGAGCAGAGGAGTGACTTTGAATAGAATGAAAGGCAGGTTTGCCATAAGCAGTTTCCAGTTTGAGTTTTCCTTAGTGATTTTGGGGACACAAGATATTTTCCTTTCACACTTCTTTTGAGAAATGCTTTTCAGATATTTTGCCCATTTTTAAATAAGATTATTAAATTTTTTTCCCTATAGAGAGTTGTTTGAACTTTTTATATATTCTGGTTATTAATCCCTTGTCAGATGGATAGTTTGGAAATATTTTCTCAGCAAGGCAATTTTACTTCTATAAAAGGGTGTGACTCACTGATGAAGCAATGGTGAGAACACACCTGAACAAGGGAGGGGAAGGGGTTTTTATTCCTGACTCAGATAGCCCCTACTGCTGTGTCATGCCCCTGTTGGCTAAGATTGGACTGCACAGTCTAAGCGAATTCCTATTGGCTATTGTTTTTTTGTTTTGTTTTGTTTTGAGACGGAGTCTCGCTCTGTCGCCCAGGCTGGAGTGCAGTGGCACGATCTCCACTCAGTGCAAGCTCCGCCTCCCGGGTTCACGCCATTCTCCTGCCTCAGCCTCCCGAGTAGCTGGGACTACAGGCGCCCGCCACCACGCCCGGCTAGTTATTTTTGTATTTTTAGTAGAGACAGGGTTTCACTGTGTTAGCCAGGATGGTCTCAATCTCCTGACCTCGTGATCCGCCCGTCTCGGCCTCCCCAAGTGCTGGGATTACAGGCGTGAGCCACCATGCCCGGCCCCAATTGGCTATTTTAAAGAGAGCAGGGGTATGAGTCGGAGTGGTGGAGTGAGTAGTTTGGCGGGAAGGATGGTTAGGAACAGGTGACTAAAGGTGATTCACACCAGAGCAGGTGACCAGGGGTGACTCAGGACAGAACAGATGACCAGGGGAACTGATGTAAACTACTGATTAGAACTGGTGGAAAAGATTGTTTACTGAAACTAGGAGCAAGAAAGCGAGAAGAACAAGGCAGTTAAACTTTAAAATGGAGAACAAAGAACAGGGGAGCTGAACATACTGATATATCGGTTCCTTGGAGAGGATCTCAAAGCTCATTGTACTTAACAATTTACAGGCTAAAACCTTTCAAGAGGAATTTTTTATATCCACAGTTGCCTGTGCTTGTGTAGTATTAGTCAAGAAATCTTTCTTTACCCAGTCCAATGGCCTATAGAGTTTCCCCAATGCTTCCTTTTAGTAGTTTCATAGTTCAAGGTCTTAGATTTAAGTCTTTAATCCATTTTTATTTGATTTTTGTATATGATGAGAGATAGATGTCTAATTTCATTCATCTGCATATGAATATCCCATTTTCCCAGCACCATTTACTGAAGAGACTGTCCTTTCTCCAATGTTATTGGCACCTTTGTCGAAAATGAGTTCACTGTAGGTGTTTGGATTTGTTTCTGGGTGTTATCCTCTGTTCCATTGGTCTATGTGTCCATTTTTATGCCCATACCATGCTGTTTTGGATATTATAGCTCTATAGTATAATTTGAAGTCAAGTTATGTGATTCCTTTAGTTTTGTTCTTTTTGCTCAAGATAGCTTTGGCTATTCTGGGTCTTTTGCGATTCCATATAAATTTTGGGATTGTTTTTCTATTTCGCTGAAGAATGTCATTGGTATTTTGATAGGAATTGCATTGACTCTGTAGATTGCTTTGTGTAGTATGGACAGTTTAACAGTATTGATTCTTCCAACTCATGAACATGGAATATCTTTCTGGTTTTTGTGTGTCCTCTTCAATTTGTTTCATCAATGTTTTATAGTTTTCATTGTAGAGATCCTTCACTTCTTTGGTTAAGTTAATTTCTAGGTATTTAATTTTATTCATAGCTATTGTAAATGGGATTAATTTTTAAATTTCTTTTTCAGATTGTTCCCTGTTGATATTTAGAAATTCTAATGATTTTTGTATGTTGATTTTGTATCCTGCAACTTTACTAAATTTGTTTATCAGTTCTAACAGTTTTTTGGTGAAGTCTGGATTTTTTCAAATATAAAATCTTATTATAGGCAAACAAGGATAATTTGACTTCTTCCTTTTCGATCTGGATGCCCTTTATTTATTTCTCTTGTCTGATTGCTCTAGCTAGGACTTCAAGTACCATGTTGAATAACAGTGGTGAAAGTGGGCATACTTGTTCCAGATCTTAGAGGAAAGACTTTCAGTTTTTTCCCATCCGGTATGATACTAGCTGTGGGTCTGTTGTATATGGCTTTTATGTTGGGTTATGTTCCTTCTATGCCCAATTTTTTGAGTTTTTTTTTTAATCATAAAGGAATGTTGAATTTTATCAAATGCTTTTTTCAGCATCAATTGAAATGATCATATGTTTTTTGTCCATTCTGTTGATATGATATATCACATTGATTTGTGTATGTTGAACCATCTTTGCATCCCTGAGATGAATCCCAATTGGTCATGATGAATGATCTGTTTAATGTATTGTTGAATTGGTTTGCTAGTATTTTGTTGAGGATTTAAGCCCAATTTTTATACCCCTGTTCACATTGTTCTCAGACCAAACCGAGGATCAGGCTGCTTATTCTTGTGGCCCGATGATGAGATGCAGATGAACTGGGAAAGGAGGGAGTTTTTGTTTCTGTAACTGTTTACAGGGAGAAGACCTGGAAAATAACATCAGACCAACTCAAAATTACAAAGTCTTCCCGAGCTTATATACCTTCTCAGCTATATATTTACCTGTGAGTGTGCATTCATCTAAAGACATAAGTCACTTTGGGAGGCCAAGGTGGGCGGATCACTTGAAGTCAGGAGTTGAAGACCATCCTGGCCAACATGGCGAAACCTTGTCTCTACTAAAAATACAAAAATAAGCCAGGCATTGTGGCACACGCCTATAGTCCCAGCTAGTCAGGATGCTGAGGCAAGAGAATCACTTGAACCTGGGAGGCAGAGGTTGCAGTTAGCCGAGATTGTGCCACTAGACTCCAGCCTGAGCAACAGAGCGAGACTCTATCTCAAAAAAATAAAATACAATTTGTAAAAAAGATATAAGTGATTAACTTCTTTTAATCTATAACTAAGATCTGAATCCT